AAAAAAAAACAGCAAAGTTATACTCGTCTGAGCCAGCACTCTCTCCTACCTGTCTCTTTCTCCACTGCAGCGATGGTACGCCCCTTGGTGTCCTCACGTCCTATACACTGTATAGAATGTGATGACTCGAGGATCCTTAGACCGCTGCAACTAAGAGCAAGCTGGCTCAGAGGATTTGGTGAGTATAACTTTTTTATTTTTGACCCTAGGAGAAAAAGTTCACTTAACCCTTCCAGCCCCACTGCAAGGGTTAATAAAAAATGTACCTGCAGTTCTTTAACGAATACAGAGATTCATCCATTTTTCTCTGTGGTATCTGCCTGAAGTTCAGCTATAAAATACCCCAATATAATGTGTCCGCGTTCCTATATTTCTGCTTTGTTCCCTCTGCAGGTTGCACGTACAATCAATAACATGCAGCAGCAGATACAGCAACATCAGCGCCAGCTGGCCCAGGCTCTACTTTTGAAGCAACAGACTCCCCCTCCACACCCACCATTGCATCCTCCTGCAGGCAAGTCAGCACTGGACAGCTTCTCACCCCATGCCCCAGGTCCAAGCCTGTCTGACCTGCACACCAAAGAACAGCAGTCTTCTTCAAGTAATTTCTCTTCTTACCCAATGGGTATGTTCCAAGCTTTTCTGAACTTTGCTTTTATTAAGAATGTTCTTTTGGAATGAACTTTACTGTATTATAGAGAATATAAATAACTCCTGGAATCTGGTTGCTATGGCCATTGCAAATATTTTTTTCCTATATTTCTTTTTTTTTTTTTGCTTCAGCACAGATAATCTACTGTTATGAGCCAACATCATATGCTGGATAGGAAAAGTGAACAATATTGCATTTCTACTTCTTTATTGCTGCTGCTATTTTCTGTTGGGTTTTCAATGCATACCATCACTCACTAGTCCTTGAAATGTCAAGTTGATACAAATTGTCTTTCATTTTCACTCTGCACCCAGGTTTTAATTGACAAAAAAAAAAACCTTGTCTCCCTTGTAAACAAGAACATGATCTTAAGTTCAGCATGCCATGCTGATATACAGTGTGCTTGTAGTCACTTAAGCCGGGTACACATGGTACGAAATTTGCAGTGTGTGCCGCTGTTGGCACCCTTCTGCCTGGCATTCTTTCAGCGGATTGAAGGAGCCAGTTGGAAATTCTCTGACGTATGGAGCTGGCAGTCAATCAGCTATTTATTTTATTATAGGTATTTATATAGCGCCGACAATTTACGCAGCACTTTACATAGTTGCACATTCACTTCAGTCCCTACCCTCAAGGAGCTTACAATCTAAGGTCCCTATCTCACATGCATACATAGAGGGCCAACTTAGAGAGGAGCCAATTAACCTACCAGCATGTCTTTGTGTGGGAGGAAACCGGAGTACCCGGAGGAAACCCACGCAAGCACAGGGAGAACATGCAAACTCCTTGCTGATAGTGGAAGACAAAAGAGAAAAAAGGGAGCCCAACCTGGTGCAGATAATCCTTTTCATTTAAAATAGACACCATAAACAAAAGTACAAGGGTACTCACAATGGTAGGTCAAACAACAGCATATATGGATGATTTCAGAGAAACAGCAGTTGCAAGACTACAATCTGTCTGTTTCTCTGAAATCAGAGAAAGTCTTGCAACTGCTGTTTCTCTGAAATCATCCATATACGCTGTTGTTTGACCTACCATTGTGAGTACCCTTGTACTTTTGTTTATGGTGTCTATTTTAAATTAAAAGGATTATCTGCACCAGGTTGGGCGCCCTTTTTTCTCTTTTGTCTTCCAGTTTTACAGTCTCCCCGGCTGAAATGGGGCAGCACCCCTAGCGATCCTGTACATGTAACAAACACATCATCAGGAATAGTCCACAGCACTTTTGCTTTTTCTTATCTCCTTGCTGATAGTGACCTGGCCAGGATTCGAACTGGGGACCCCCAGTGCTGCAAGGCAGACGCGCTAACCACTACGCCACTACTACGCCACTGAGCTGCCCGTTAGCTGCGCTCAGGTATTGTGACAGTTGCCACTGTCAGAATACAATGAAAACAGCAGGGGATTCCTCCATCCACGTTCATAAGCATGGATGGCGGAATTTTTTCGTGCAACCCGAGGATTGAACAAAAAAAATAGACGTGTGTATACCTGACTTTAGTCAGTCTGGCACACACTCTACCCGGCCAGCTCAATTGACAGCAACTTCTAGCAGAATATTTGCTGTCACATGGATATCGAGCAGAAAGAAGTAGAAAATTCTGCATCTGCAGTCAGTATTGCTGCATAATGAGGCGTCTATGCATGTGCATGCGTACATGTGCGGGGAATGGAGGAATTTACAAATGTGAACGTTTACACATTTTACGTATCTAAATGGAAGCACTGTACAGACCCTTACATCTGTTTTTGTTAGGCCGGATCTTTCTGCCAGCAAGATCCGCATAGATATCAGTGTGCGTGGGCCCCTATACCTAGTTTAAAGTATAGCAAATCACTAGACTGGCCTAGCTCAGTAACTCCATACCACAAGCAGACAAGGTTTCACATTAAAGCTGAACTGCGAACAAATGCTTCTGTTTACAGTTGAAATACATTTAATGGAACAACTTGCCAAAGGATCTGTTATTCTGTTCAGCCAGTCTTGTAAGACATCCATGCCTGGCTAGGTCATTGAACTCCCCTTTCTCCACTGAAATAGAGATGGGTCCCTAACCCTACCCCAGCAAGGTATTGGACTGTGAAGGAGCAGTAGCTCATTGATGAAGTCATCCCTTTGTTCCATGTCAGCAGCTTCCTATCGCAAACACCATTGCAGAGTTTACAAGTAGTCAACAGATGTATATGCAGTCAGCATCGTACATTGCAATATGGCTCGCTCTGGAAATCTATTGGCAGAGAGAAAATAAATAAGCTCGTTGGCAACAAGCTTTGTCAAAAAAAAGAGAGGTCAGCAGTTGTAGCTCGTGTCGTTCTCACTGCACAGGTTTCCATTCGTTCAAGTTCCACTCACTAAGCTGCAGTCTACACAGGATTTAGGATGCAGAGGAACAGGAAACGGATCCCGCAATTATGTAATCTGTAGCTAATCAGACAATATTTTCATTTTAAGGACTAACTGAATGTGTATAAATGTCGCATTGATGAGGAAGATATGTGACTGCCCAGAAATTAGTTTCAAGAACTGTGTGCACTGTATGTCAGCATTGTCAAGTCATTCCCTGTTATTTTCATACACGAAACAAGGGAATAGTGTGTACTCTGCAGCTAGGCTTTTTTATATTTTAACCATATACATCCCTTCCAATACAGTTTCTGGATTAAATCCTGCTATGAATGTAAGCAGCATGGACATGGCTGGAGGTTTGTCAGTAAAGGATACGTCCCAGTCTCAGTCTCGTCTGCCACAATGGACCCATCCCAATTCCATGGATAGCCTGGCAAATTCTGCTTCTCTTGATCCTAGCCCTGGCAAGTCAAGTAAGTCGTCATTTGTCCTCCATTTAAGGGTTCAAAGTCCTTCCTCCTGCCAGTGCCTGTATTTTCACCCTTTCTGCTAACACTTATAGTTTATGGGAGTTGCAGCATTTTTCTTTCATCAGCACATCATTATACTGTGTTCCAGTTGTATCAATGTCTTCCCCACACCGTACTGCTTCGGATTTTGAGCTTCATCTGCCATTTTGTCACATTTATTTGCTGCAGCTGCTCTTCCTGGAGGTCTTGGCATCGGCCCTCCTTCAAAGTCCAATATAGATGACTCCTACAATCGGTATGATCTTCTCCAAAATAGTGAATCACCAACAAGTCCTCCTGTCCCTGTTCCGGACAGCTGGTCACGTGCCAAACCTGAGAACGACAAAATCTCCAACGGGTCCAGTATCAACTGGCCTCCTGGTGAGTGCTTTCTTGTCATATTTCTTGCAATACTTCATTTTCCACTCCTGCTTTTTTTTTAAACATATAGTTCTACACTTTTCAATGTGGTGTTCATTATATAGCGTAAAAACTGAAGCGATCAGGTTGGTTGACTCATTATTGTGTACCTGTCCATAGAATTTCACCCAGGAGTGCCTTGGAAAGGACTGCAAAACATTGACCCCGAGAATGATCCTGATGTGACCCCAGGAAGTGTTCCTACTGGGCCCACTATTAACACCACAATCCAGGACGTCAACCGTTATCTGCTCAAAAGTGGAGGTAGTCTGACGAGAACCAGAGATTTCTGTTTTCTTCCTAAACATTACTATGTATGCCGGGTTCTATTTGCCAGCCTACTTATATAAGTATTCCCTTAAAGGAGAACTATGAGGTGAGTGCTTTTCACTCACCTCATAGTTCTAGCCGACCTGTGACAATGAGACTGTCACAGGTCGGCTCAGTAGATCGGGAGGTGAGCGAACACATACCGGGTTCGCTCACCTCTCGATCCTGTCACGGCTCTCTGCCGTGACAGGGGGAGGGGCTGGATTCCCCTCTCCCCTCTCCGATCTGCCAGCGCTGACTGGCGGAACGGACGGGGGAGGGGGCGGACAAAGCGGGCTCTGCCTCTAGATAGGCAGAGCCAGCTGTCACTCACGCAGCTGGGCGGATCCCGTCATCTAAGTCGGGATCCACGCCGGCTGCAGCGTCTCAGAATACCGCGAGCTGTAGCTTGCGGTATACTGAGCTTAGGGTAACGGGAGGACGCTAGTTTGTGTCCTCCCGTTACCCTAAGGAGAACTATGGGGAAAAACACTGACCCCATAGTTCTCCTTTAAAAACGAATGAATTTCAAGTTTCATAGCTCTGGGTGGCACAATAAGAAGTCAAAGACCTTTATGACTTGTTGAAATGTATTGGTCGGCCAGGGGTGTGGAAATTTAAAAAAAAAAACTACTACTTTCCAAGGATTCGATCATTGGAAAGTAGTGATACAACCCAATCTACTTGTCGTGATACAACAAATAACTTTACCCAAAATCGTATTTAACCGTGCTAAGAAGCACTTGTCATTGGTCAGTGTGGTCACCTGGCAAGTATAGCAGCAGGGGGAGAGGGGGTTAGATTTGAGCGGGTAATTCCATTTTCCCAAATTGCTTGGGAAAGTGAACTTACACTGTAATGCACATTGAGCAGAGAGAGCGCTGCTGTCCGGCTACCACAATATGGCACGCAGTGGAATGGCGGCAGCACACAATGCACACACACAATGCCCTATACATGTGTTTATTTGCATGCAGATGACAGGGTTGGTTTTCATTTATTTTATTTTTTCATTATTTTCTACTTTTCTTTCACTTAAATGTATTGCTATCACACAGGTATTAACAAGCACCTGTGTGATGGCGTTTGGAGGTGACAGGCTGTCTTTATTGAGCCTGCCCTCCAATACAGGAGATTGAGCCTAGCTTTGTGCTCGATCAGCTGTGCAGCTGAGACAGGAAGCGCTGAGTACAACGCTCTGGTCTCACAAATCACACAGAGCAGATCGGAGAATGGACATTCTCCGGTCTGCTCCCCGCTTTCCATCCTGAGATTATTGTCATGGTCCCCCAGAAGAGCGGTGGACCCGAAGATCACCTCGCGGGGATTGGACGACGACGCGAACAAGCAGGCTACTACAAGTGATCTAGGCGGCTGCCCAGATCATTTGCACAAATGAACAGGCTCACCCACTCTACATTTAGCCCTGCTTACGCACAGCAGGGCTAATTGTAGAAAAAAAAAAACACGCGCCCAGGACATGCTTTGAGCAATAGGTGTTCCGCACCCCTGGACTGCTTCATTTTGCATGTTTAAATAGTTTGATGTGACAAAATGAGCATAGGGGTCATGGTAGTACATTTGACTATGATTCGTTATAGCATTGGTATGTAACGTGGTCAGTATTGCAGTTTTTCTGTACTTGCCTGTGTAAACTGGGAGATTGAAGCACTGAATAGTCACATCCATATTCCTTGCTGCAAACTGCGACTATATTAGCAACTTTAGCATACAGATTTGATTTCATGTGCTGTGGAATTCTTAAGAACGAATTCATTCAATCATTGGTGACGAGCATGGAGTGGCATTTAAAAAAGGAAACTTGTTTCAAGTCGTGATTTTTCTTTCTGGTTTTTTTTTTTTTCTTTTTTAGCTAAACTGTCGGATATAAAGTCCAATTGGTCATCCAGCCCTATCTCCCACACTCAAGCATCTTTGTCTCATGAGCTGTGGAAAGTACCGAGAAACACTACAGCCCCAACCAGACCGCCGCCTGGGCTAACCAATGCCAAACACTCCTCTGCCTGGGGCTCAAACCAACTTGGCTGGACCAGCTCCTACTCAACAGGTAGGACTATGTTTTTATGCTGCATATATAAAATAACCACCAAGGTGTCTATCAAGTTAGATACCTTTTTAAGATTCTCATATTCTGTTCCCCAAGGTTTTTACTGCTGTACGTTATCTTTTCAGGTTCCACCTGGAGCACAGACAGTTCAGGAAGAACAAGTAGCTGGCTGGTCCTGCGTAACCTCACTCCACAGGTAGTGGAAATATATGTAGAATACACGTTCTTATGTTTTTCCTTCATGCGTCAAAGCAACAGTTCAACTTAAAGCTTGTGGTTTGACCAGCATTTTACTTGTCTTCCTATCCATCCCCAGTAGGAGCGAAGAGAAGAAGCTCTGTGTAAGCTCCAAGCTGCAGCTTGGGGCATACATAGAGCAAAGCACCCTGTCCTGCCATCATGTGACAGCTGTGGGTGCCTGAGCGGCTGGTTGCCAGTGGCAAGTTGCATGGAAGAAGCTGAATTGAGTCACATGCTCCCCCATAATTAGAAATATCAGGTATTACTCTGAAGCTGGCTATACAGTATGTGAATTTTGCCCGGTTCTTGATGAACCGGCTGAAATTCCCACATTGGTTTTGCTGTTAGCACCATTCCTGGCCGGCATCCCTCGATCAGCTGAAGGAGTCGGTTCAAATGAAGCCAATGAGCTGCCAGCTCTGTTCGGGTATTCTGACAGCGGCCATAGTCAGAATATTATGCAGACAGCGGGAGATGCCACGATCATCACTCGTAAGCACTGATGGAGGAATCTTGTTATATTTTCTTTGTTCAGCCTGCAGGTTGGACAAAGAAAATATTGGTGTACGGGCAGCTTTAGTTCTCGTACGTTGAATGGAGCAGTAGGGGAGCGAAGGGAAGGTGAGTATGTTCTGTACAAGAAAAGTGTTAAGTCAACCGGTTCTTTTGCCCTCCATGCAACCACGCTTGTTTTGTTGGATATAAACATTCACACATGCTGAGATCATTCACCTGTCTTGGCCTTTGATATGTGTGTTCAGGTGGTCATAATAATCTGGCCACTCAGTGTGTATGTATATATATGTATATATATGTATGTGTGTATATATCTATATATATATATAGATATATATAGTGTGTAAATCATGACCATGCATTGTTATTTTAAGTCACCATTGTGTGCCCAGTGTAGAATGCAGTTAAAGCATAATTTAAAAAATAAAGCATGTTCCTTTTTTTCTGCTTCTACTTATTTAACAGATCGATGGCTCCACCTTGAGAACGCTGTGTCTTCAACATGGTCCGCTGATAACATTCCATCTGAACCTCACTCAAGGCAATGCAGTGGTCAGATACAGCTCAAAGGAGGAGGCCGCCAAGGCACAGAAGTCTCTACATATGTAAGTGTTCTCATTTATGTGCTGCCATCTCTCTCATTGCAATTTCGACATTTATTTTGCAAGCAAATAATTCTGCATGTGGGGGTTTGACTGTTTTGTGGTTTTGGGGTTTTCTTTTTTGTTTTATATGGCCTTTGCTGTGAATTTTTACCCAGCCAAACCTCTTCCTTACATTGACTTAGGCAGCCACTTTTATATGTATTTTCCTTCGAAATTTGTTGTAATTTATTTCGACACACCTCCGCTTATTATCTAATCTGAATGTATAGTATGCCTTTGATTTATTGGTGCACTTTTTTTTTGTCTTGTGTATAGGTGTGTCCTTGGCAACACTACTATTTTGGCGGAATTCGCAGGCGAAGAAGAAGTGAACCGTTTCTTGGCACAAGGGCAACCTATGCCCCCCACTTCCAGTTGGCAGTCTAACACTGGGAATAGTCAGCCCCGGCTAGGGGGCAACGGGGGCTCACACAACTTGGTTCGCAACGATGCTGCTCACTGGAATCCTCCTTGTTTGAGTGCCAAGGGAGGCAACGATCTTCTGTGGGGTGGAGTCCCGCAGTATTCCAGCAGCTTGTGGGGCCCACCTGGGTCAGATGATGCCAGGATAATTCGCAGTCCAACACCTCTCAATACTCTGTTACCGGGAGATTTGCTGAGTGGGGAATCAATGTGAAAGAAATGTGGACGTCGGTCCTCAAAATGTATTCATCATCAGCACTAACGGAAAAAAACTCCAAGACAAATAATATCCAATCTTTCCAGTCCATGCTCTGTGAGGAATTCAGCTTCTTCAGGCCCCATGTCTTCTCTCCATGCAGTATCTTTTCCCGGTCATCCTCCCTACTGCACCCTTGAGAACTGTTCCAAGTAACAGTATGGGATTGTGGGAGGGATGGGGAAAGGAAGGGTTGAGGAGAGAGGGGAAGAGCCACTTAGTAGACGTGTTCAAGCTTTTTTTTTTTTTATGTTTTTAAAGTGTTCAAAGAAAAAAAAAAATGAAAAAAAAATGATCAACGCTGCTTCTGCTGGGACTAGAACGCAAGGGCACTTTCATTTGACAGGAATGAAGAGGGTTAGTTTGGGGGCAAGGGGAATAGGGGATGGGAGAATAAAAAAACAAAAAAAAAGCCTATTTTGAAATAAGCCTTGGACTTATATGCACATCAGACGGAGCCCATCAAATGGGGAGCAGCAGCAAGCTCTGCGTATTCGGCAGTTCTGTATACGCACTTAGGTGGCATTAGTATTGATGCAGAAACAAGGGAAGGATGGCTCTAGTTTGATCACCGAATGGATCTGCCTATGCACATAACCTTTTTTCCAGAGCCTCTGCTCCTGTCATAGTTCCTTTTTTTTTTTCCTTTTTGGTTTCCATTTTTTCGATCTTCTCTTATTATCGGATCCCTCCGAAGCATCATATCAGCTGTTTGATTTACTTGAATACAGCAGATCTACACCTTACAATGGGATTCCTTCAGGAATGTGGCTTGTTTCCAGTCCTGATTGATCAAGTGTTTATGCAATTGCAGAGAGACGCATCGGATTGTATCCATAGAGAAGAGGCAGAAATTGTATGAGAATGCACGCACAGGGAAATGAATACCGAAAAGAGTCTTTCCTTTTTGTTTTTTAATTTAAATAACTCTTTTATGCCTTTATAAGCATCTGAGGTCCATCCCTGTGTATATCATACACACAAAATACAGACATTTATCTCTTACTTTAAAAGTACCTTACTTCCTTTTGATGAAATTTTTGTCCTTCTCTTTTTAACTTTTGCACTGAAATATGAACTCCTCATCCAATCCTTGCAGTTAACCCAACTGAATAGAGAATCGAAAGAAATGTATGAAGGGAGGGAGTGCTAACACGTATCTATGTTTACTCAAGGACTTATTTGTGAAGAAAAAAAAAACATTTACATTTTGCTTATGTCAGAAGAAAAAAAAGAACTTACAAATGTTTGTCTACCTTCCCATTGCTTCATCTTTGGGAAGTAATGCATATTACTGGAGACTTACATCTATTTGTGGTAGCTTGCTGAAGTTCACAGACTATACAAGCTGGGCAGTTGCCACAAGCAGAACCCATAAGGCAACACTGCATCTTATGCAGGTTTTGAACTGCGTCTAATAGCAGATTGCCAGTCTTGGCTCTAACCTGTTTACAAAACTTTTTATTTCTAAATCTTGTTTTTCTGCTTTTCTCCAAAAATAAGTAAAGATGAAAAAGAAAAAAAAAAAAAACTAAAAAAAAACAGCAAAACAAATAAAAACGTTAAAAAAAAAAATTCCATCGAATTAACAAAAATTCTATTTTCAAATTTAAATAGAAATTCCTTTACACCTCGGGGAAAGTACCAGTGTTTTATTAAATAACTTTAGCCATCATTGTCCAACATTTAAATATTTTTTTTTTCCCTTTTTTATACTTTACATTTTTGTCAAACGTTTTCTTTTCATCAATGAGCGGAAAAAAAATTTAAAAATAGTTTTTTTTTGTTTTTGTTTTTTTTTTAAATCACAATCTTGCACATCGTGGATATCTTTCTCAGGAAAATTTGACATTTCCAGAGGAGTAGAACACCACACAACCATTTCATTGTATTTTTAAGAAAAAGAAGAAAAAAATGAAGAAAAAAATTAAATAAACTGAAAAGAGATTATCCAACTCCAGGCACTGAAAACTTAAGGGGGAAGAACTGAAAACGTAACGGAGGAAGACAAACAATTTCCTGTTTGTAGCAGTTACATATTTACCAAATAATGGACTTGAAATGTTTCAAGAGTGCTTTATATGTTATAAAAAAAAAAAGAAATATTGCTTTATGTTGAAACACAAACCGTGATTTTCCTGGGTCTCTGTTAAGGAAATAAGTAGAACAACATACCTTTCCGCAAGTTGATGGGATAAACATTGTTCAGACAAACATCGCCTGTAACTTCAAAGAATCCGTATATTTCCTGTTCCTTCTTGACTCTTTGGGGGGGTGCATCCTGGTCTTACTGAAAGAAGAGGGCAGGATAGACTTACATGGGGGGGGGGGGGGGGGGGGGTAGTTGATGAAGTTTTATCATTTGTTCAGACAAACATCGCCTGTAACTTCAAAGAATCCGTATATTTCCTGTTCCTTCTTGACTCTTTGGGGGGGTGCATCCTGGTCTTACTGAAAGAAGAGGGCAGGATAGACTTACATGGGGGGGTGGGGGGAGGGGGATAGTTGATGAAGTTTTATCAGATGTGTGTGTTGGATCTCTGCTTCAGCTGGTGTCAGACCTCTCTGCTAGAACGGCCCACGAATTGTTCTGCCTTGTGGGTTGTTGCAGCAGGGATGGTGTTAAATGCCTTTCAGTACCAGCTGGGCCTCAATCCTTTTGAGGTACTGGAGCAATTTATTTTTGGATCCTGATCTATGCACAAGCCAAGTCTGAGACAGGAGCTACAATTCGCTTTGGTATATTGGGTTTTTTGAACTGAAAATTAGTTTTTTTTCCTTTACAAATCTAGAACACCCTTTTCTCACTCTTCTGGCAAAGCAGACAGGGAGAATGACTTCAGACAGTACGACCAGTGTATTTGAACTCCAGTTTCTGTGTGTTGAGGGGACGGGGGGGTCTTTTAATCAATAATATTTTGTGTGTTATTTCATAATGCTACCTCTGTCTGCCATACACTGCCCTTGGATGGGTAGGAAAACAGACTGTGACATGGGAGGGCACAGCCCCTCTTTCATTTTCAGAGTTAGAATTTGTCTGTTACAGGCACTGGGACAATCCTTAATATTTGGGCACACCAAGTGGGTCATTGGTTATGTGTTTAGTTTAAATTTTTTTTTTTTTTTTTTCTTTGCTGTCTGAGTGACCAGTAACACATGTGCATTATGTTGCTGATATTTCAAGCACATAGCTGTGCACTTTTTTTTTGCTTTTCTTTTCTTTTTTTGCACGCCAGATGGAGGAACAGTTATAAATGGTTTACAAACAAAATAAGAGTAGAGACTGACAAGGTTTCTTTCTGTGAAGAATGTCGTTTTCATTCACTTCTTTTGGATGCAAAATTGTCCCAAAGATATATAAAAATGATAAAAGAAAAAAAAAATCTGCTCAAATATTTGCCCTTTAACTCTCTAGCTGCAAAAGGGTTAATCGTTAATACACATGTTCTACTGTACAGGGCCGGCAGCCAGATGTAAGCACACCTGGGGCTGTGCACCATACTGATTGTGTTGAAGCAAATGAGAAAATGTGACATCATTCTGCAGTTCCTCTGTAATCTGCAAACGTCTGCAGGACGCCTTTAGAAAAACAGTAAACTAGAATATTTTTTTTTTTTTTTGATCTATGCTCTACTCTGGTATAAGCAGGCGCTGTAAAGCTATCCATTATTCTGGCAGAGTGTTCTACAAGAGTGTTTTTTGGGTTTTTTCCAGTCCGCGGTGGCCGCTGACGATGCTCACGTTCCAGATCTCTTTGCTTGCCATACGTGGAACGATGAGCGATAACAGACTTGATCGTTCCAGTTTTTCTTTGGTTTGAAAGAGCTCACGCCACACAACAAAGATCGCTTTGTTCCTAGTTGGTTAGAATTACCGAGATCGAATGTTCCTTTTTAGGGAAAACTATTGTTCCTTGAAAAAGCACCAAATGAGGTGACTCCTATTCTTCGAGGCTTCTGAACACTGGTGGAACTCCCAGGGTCGCATCGGTCACTTTTGCGACCAGGCCCTGGTGTTCCGCCACTTAGGGTTGGGCAGAATAGAAGAAGAGGGCCCGGCCCTTGTAGCCGCCGAGGTGCTGACATTGCCTCGTGGGACTACACACATGCACTTCTCGGTCTTCTGTCCCTACTGTCTGTGCCTCACGGTCACAAATAAACAATAACGCACAGGGTTTCCGACAAAATGGCTCCGGTTGCCCCTTCCTATACACAGAGAATCCCCAGGTCAGGTAGAAGTAAAACACAATTTAAGAAAAAAATGAATAGACAATACCTGTACTGTATATTAAAGGAGAACTATGAGGTGAGTGCTTTTCACTCATAGTTCTAGCCGACCTGTAACAATGAGACTGTCACAGGTCGGCTCAGTAGATCGGGAAGTGAGCGAACATATACCGGCGCTCGCTCACTTCTCGATCCTGTGCCGCAGAGAGCTGTGACATGGGAGTGACTGGATTCCCCCCTCACCCGTCCGATCCTCCAGCGCTGACTGGCGGAAAGGACGGGGGAGGGGGTGGGTACAGCTGGCTCTGCCTCTAGATAGGCAGAGCCAGCTGTCACTCACGTAACTTGGTGAATCCAGACATAATTGTCGGGATCCGTTCCGGCTGCGGCGTCTCAGTATACCGCAAGCTGTAGTTCCCGGTATACTGAGCTTTGGGTGACGGGAGGATGCTAGTTTTTGTCCTCCTGTTACCCTAAGGAGAACTATGGGGAAAAGCCCTAACCCCATAGTTCTCCGTGTGATTTGACTGAAAATAAGCACGGGGTTGTAGACATGGTGGAGCAGGGGAGAGAAGCAGGATCTGATCCGAAGTATGCAGAGAAGATCGATCCAAACAAGCTGACCCTGGAGCAGGTAGAGTTCATCAGTGGCTAAAGAATTCGGGAAAGTTGAGAACCAGGAAAGGCATCACTGCCATGGCTCTAGGCAGTATCGTGCTGGGGATCTGTATCCTGACCCGTCATGGTTTCATGCATCGGGGTCAGAGGTTTTGTAGTTGCCCCCTTGTTTCAGAACAACTGTTAAGTGTTACAAGTATGGCCATCATAAGTGAGCTTTTTGAATCTGTACTTCTTTCTGGAACACGAGTACTATTGGCACCCACCGGGGAATGGAACTGAAAAACACCGATCTACAACTTTGCGGCTAGATTGCCTCCTGACAGGAGAGATGTTAAATAGCACTTTTGTCATGTAGTGTCGGGAGGAAAAAAAGATATTGCAAAAATGCCACTTCACAGCAGTCCCCCCTTCAGAAGAGTACATGATACCTTTTAGATGCTCATAGAGCATACGATACTTCATTCTGATTGGGGGAGAGGTCTGTGCATAGTCAACATATGAACATTTCTTCCATGTGAAAAGATTTCTATAAATAAATAT